ACTCCCAGTTTCATACTCCTTTTGATTTTGGGTCTTAAATGGTTAAGACATATACTCAAACTTCAGATCTGACTTCTCTAAGGCCACTTAATCCATAAAGTTGAAACCTTTAAGCCTTTGCATGGCTGTAAAGGTCACTAATCACTCTAACACCTTTCCTCTTCCCTCATAAAGCCTAGATCTCATGCATGGCTTAATATTCACGTCCAAGATTGGATTTTTATGAACCCTCAACTCACAATACTCTAAAATATAGTAGATCTAAGCTTATGGAGACCTTTTGCTCATAAAGTCTCCACCTTGGGACCAAAAACCCTAAAAATTGGTCCATGAAGCACAAATCAACAATAACAAGGAAAGCTCAGAGCTTTTTACCTCCAAGTGAAGCTCCTCCCTCTGTAGAACTCAGATCCAAGCTTGCACTCCAACTTCTAGCCTTCACAAGAACCTCCTCTTCTTCTTTACTAACACACAAAGGCACTTTTAGCTCAAGAACACTCACACACAAGCTTAGAACGAAGGCTGGCTCTCTCTTAGGGTTTCACTCTCTCAAATGGTGGCTGAGGATAAGGCCATAACTTTCTTTATATAGGGCTCAAGTCTCATTTAGGGTTTTGAGTCTGGACCCGCTACGTCCAGCGTAGACTAAGGTACGCCCAGCGTACCGGGTGGAGTCCGCGTCCAAAACACGCCCATGAGTACGCGCAGCGTACTCTTCAGTACGCCCAGCGTACTCATTTGCCACAATCTACTTTTAAGGGCTAAACAAGACAACTTAGAAAGAAGGAAGGTTTAAGAGACGCATCTGAATTCCGGGATGTTACACATAAACACACGTATAATTGTTGCAATGATTTTGGTACCTAAAGACACAAAAATCGCAAGAGAAAACTATGAAAAACACAATTTTTGAACAAATTTAGGGACCAAAATCATTACAATTGAAAATTGGGCAATTTTTTTACAAACTTTGGGACTAAAATTGCAAGACTAATCTATTAGGGACCAAAAACTCTAGAAACTATTACGCGAGCTCATTCCATGTTGTTATGGAGCTGGATGGGAAATCGTATAATCGTTCTTTCGTTGTATATTGAAGTGAAAATGGAAATACATTCAACGTTATCTGATCCCTATTGATGACATGTGGCTTCATTCTAGAACAGACCACATGAAATTTATGTGGGTCTTTTTTTTTGAGGCCTCAGGATATGGAGAGAAGATGCATCAGCCTACAATTTAGTTCGGAATTTTGGGCATCAAGAAAAGTGATACAAAGAGGTTGTTGAGTGACCTCTTGAGTAGCCCACTATCAAAGAGTCCTCTCTTCGTTGCATGCGTCTCCCATGGTTGAATTGTCGAAATCTAATTTAGAAGGGTTGATGGTTTCGAATTTGATGGATGATGACGAGTATGTTTTGTGTGGGCTTTGAAAAAGTGAAGATGAAGGTGCTTTTGGGAAAGATGTGAACATGAATTCAGGTTCATTCCACAAAGGGTTGCCCTGTGGATCAGTTTTCTCCAAGGTTAGAGAAGATGATAAAGCTAGGAAACTCGTTGAGTATTTTTGTTGTGTCGCTTTTTTCCTTAGTTTTCTTATTGTCTTCTCTATTTCAGGATCGAGCCTTAGTGGTGTACCTGTACGTGAATATCTTGGCATAAACAATTAGTGTTTGCCGTGTCCCCGACAACGGCGCCAATTTGTTAAGCGAGTCGTAAGTGCCTAAACGATGGGAATGAAGATGATGATATATAGGTTTATATATGTTGTTATTTTTGATAGTTTTTGTTTATTTTTGATAATTTAACTTATAAGTTTATATATGTTGTTATTAATTATGTAGTTGGAAAATCTTCGTGCGATGCTGAATGACCCGGCATGTAGGGATGAGTTGTATTCGTTTTTTCAATCCCAAAATAATCGAGGAAACAATGGGAATGAAGATGATGGTATATAGGCCAGAATGAGTTTTATTTGCATATGTTATCATGCTTTGCTACTTGGTAGATTGTAAAACTTTGGTTGTTTTTTGTAATTGCCGGCGACACTAATACCGGGCGACATTATTACTTTTTATATTTAATCAGATATTATGACTTTTGATATTTAATTAATTATAATCGGATGTTTGTTTTGTAATTAGCATCGACACTATTATTTTTGATATTTAATCGAATGTTGCTATGTAATTACCGAGTACATTATTACCGGCAACCAAAATTGTTAATTACAAAAAAAAATTAAAAAATGAAAATCGTAATTACCGGCGACACTATTACCGGCGACAGGGTTATTACCGACGACATTGTCATTACCGGCGACACATATCATTAGCGGCGACGCGTTCATAAGCGGCGACATCTATCATTAGCGGCGACAAGTTCATCAATAACGACGAACTAGTAGCGGCGACTTATTACCGGCGACGCGTCGCCCCTATTACTATTACCGGCGACATCTTGGCTTATTACCGGTGACTTTTGTCGCCGCTAATGATCATTTTCCTTGTAGTGGGGGTATAAAAGTTACTTCTTGGTTGCACTAAATGGGTAATACATGAAAGATGGGTTGAATCTACACGGAGACGTCCTAAAGGTCTATGCTCTTTTGATGATTAATACTAATATTAAAAGTGAATTTATAAAAATACAACTAATAACTTATGGAGATTCATATCATTAAAAGCAACTTCCATGGTGACTCTCCTAATCATGCAAATAACCATCAACTTGATTGTTTGAATTGTGCTCTGTCTAAACTAGTACCGAAAATCATTAACAATCTCTAATAATCTTTTTTTTCCAAATTGTTTAATTAAAATATTTGTTTTGAGTTAAACTTTGTTTGTTACTAAGTTAATTAAACAGACTCTTAATTAATTTAGAAAAGTAGCATTAACCATAATTTAAAATTCCCAGTAAATTTCAGTACTTCTCGTAGGCTCGGAAGCGTAAAAACTTATTCGATCATTTTATATTAAAGTTAAATCCTAGCATGAAACCAATCTAATATTCGTTACATATTACAGGTTAATTAAAACGATTACGGATTCTAACAACGGAATGATTTAATACCAATTCAAATGTCCAACAAAAACTTAATCAAAATCAAACATTCATTTAAACACGAAACCGATCAAACTAAACAGAATTCACAACTAAAAATCAAGCCTAATGATTACTTGCACGAAAAGTCGAGCCGATGCGAAACTGAAATCTAGGGTATTTAGTCGTACATGGCTAAAAATGAATTACAAAGAGTAAAAAAAAGTCTAAACGATAAATCTTACTAAACTAGATGAACGAGTCAAACTGCAATCTTCAGATCTGGAAATTCGTTGGAAAACTTCAGAAAATCGCCAAAAATTCGTATGCATCAATCTAGGGTTCAACTATTCTGGTATTTATATAGTAGGCTTGGCAGTAAATAAAGGCTCTAGCATAAAACACAAACCGTGTTTGGAGGCTAGTGGAGTCCATAAGCATTGAAACGAAGTACATTTCCAAAACGAATTTTTTTAGAAGCACAAGCTTGAAGGACGACCTGTGTTTGTGTGACCAGGTCGTGCCTTTCAGACACAGAGAACCAATCTTTAAATCTTGAAGATTCAGGAAAATAGTCATCGGGAGTAAGCTAGGTCATAATTGCCGTAAATACGATACAAAATGAGATTAAATGTAACCAAAAAGATGCATAAAAATGCATCTAACAATTGTCTAGCGAACTAAATCGTTTATAATAGTATCATATTTGTGTTATACATTATCTTATCGGAAAGTATTCTACAAAAATAAGTAATAATCGTGCAAAAAAGAATGAAATAAAGTATAATACAAGTATTATAATGTAATAATATGGAAATGATCTAAGTAGAGTTTTGGTATGGGATGTAGTTGTTCAGAGAGGGGTTCATCTTGGCCACTTCAGTGGTTTTACCTTGTGTTTTGCTGCTTCATGTAAGTTCTCATGAACTTACTTATTATATGGACTATGTATTATTTGTATGTTGATTAGATGACAACCCCTCGGAGAATCTAGTTGGTTTCATGACCATGATAGCCCTTCAAGGAAGTGGTCAAAGTTTGGATGATCATGACATCCCTTCGGGGAAGTGATCAGTCCCAGTTGCCAGTGTCCGAGACAGTCCTTCGGAGAATCAACCTGTTGGAGTAGGGTTGGTACCAACAATATGTGTTAGGAAATATACATATGTTATGTGATAGTATGTAAGAAATATGTTATTTACTATTTGAAGTTTATGTGTATAAAGTGAATATGCATATGATCTGTATAATTGGCGAATGTTATGATTACTCACTAAGCCTTTGGCTTACAGTTGCTACTTTATGTTTTTAGTTGCAGGTCCTTCAGGTTCGAAGGGTAAGGAGTTGACATGGTTGGGATATTTGGACATTCTCGGATGGTCTGAATCATTTCTTTTCTTTCCCTAAAAAACTCAAACCGGGAGTTAAGAGTATTTTGGTCTTTAGTAAAAGAAATTAATAATGAAATCAAGTTTATTCTACCTTCTCTTAGGAATGGTACCTCCTATGAATGGTGAGTTCATGATATTATTAATTTTTGTTCATTTGGCAACCAAAAACGCGTGGAATGTAATCTCAAATTCCAATTCCGTCAAAATTCACAAACTAAACAAACCCAAAACAACAAATTATCTATCAAATGAATATGGGGGAGAAACAAAATTGCTCAAAGAACATGGGGCAACATAGGGACTTCAAAAAACTATTATTTCCAAAAACAAAAAAATGTGGCCAACCTAATTCAGGGAAATATGGATAGCCAAATCTTATAAAGAATGATTACATTTACAAACTTTGCAAAAATGCAATCCAAATCAAAATGACACGAGTTAAAATGAATGAGAAAGAAAAATGCATATAATTATGCAATTATTACAACTTCTAGGGTTCATATGCTATAGTTCAAAATCGTTCATAGTCTTCAAATTCCATCAAAGACTACCAAAAAACCACCATCACCGCCTCCGGACAGCTGCACTCTGCCCATGATGGATAGCCCTAACCGCCTGCTGTGGTGGCATATCCACCTGTTCCTCCACCATGTTGCCGGATTGGTTGATAGCATTCATGACAATAACAACAAGCGGCATCAAATACATCCACTGAAAAATTATCAAGTACATCATGTTATCATAAACACGAGTAGTTTTCAAAATAATTAAGTTGAAATTAAAATATTCATGACTCACATATTTAGCCAAAAAGGATCTCTCTATTGGCTTTACCCCTTCATCCTCTCCCATATCACCACCAATGATATGTTCAGAAAATATTGGCGTCCTGTTTGAGTTGACTCAAGGAATTTTAAAGGCTGAAAATGGAGTTATGAAAGAGGAAGATAAGAATTTGACCTTGGTGCATATTCACTGTACTTTAAAACTGTGTGAGAGTTGAAGATCCACTTTGAAGGCTGAAAATGAATAGAAAGAATGACATGTCATATATAACATTCAAGTTAGTGGAAGTCACTGAATATTTAAAAGCTCAAATGATATAAATATTTAAATACATTGGTCTAAAAGAGAACACAAGTAAATATATTTGTGAAAACTTACAATTCTCAATTGCCGATTATATTGGCAAGCCCTAAGAGAACCATAATTAACAGCCAAAATGTGGACACCTTCCTGCATGATTTATACCACATGATGAATAATTATAGAGTAATGAAATGTAAATTAGCATGATAAAATATTAAAATGTGAAACTTTTAGACATTTTTTTCACACATTAATGGAAAGGAGAATTACCATGTGTATGATGAAGTGTTCATCCAAGCCATCATTTGGGAGGCACCTCTGAAAGTAAATACAGGATCAGTAAATAGTGTACAAGTATAAACCTTAATTTCTGCTAAGGATGCTAAGAGTGAAACTATATAACCTAATGTCAAGTTTCAAGCTTACAGCTTTTACTGAGGAGATAACATAAGCTTTCCCAGGAGCGTTTAACACGTTAGATGGTACCCTTATCCTGTAGAAAGCATCATCTTCAAGTAGTTTCTACAGTAGATAAACATCAACAAACAGAATTTAATTCATACAACACAGACAAAAACGCTAATGATGTTAAGAAGTAGGTTTGATGAAGAATTACTTTGAACTTCTCCTTCTCTATTGTGCTAAGATCGTTCCTTGAGAATCTGATCTTCGTAAGAGTTCTCTTTAATCAAAAGAAGCCAAACCAGAAAGAAGTTGATCCTGTTAATAGCTTTGTAACTCATAAGATAACATAAAAGTAGTGTACAAGAGAATAAAAAGTTTAACGATTGTTCAATTAGGTTTATAAACTTGTGTTTTGAAAATGTGTGAATTTTCGTGATGATGATCATCCAATTAAACAACAAAATCGTCATCGACGATCATAGAATCTGATTACCTTTCCTCCATGAGATTTGAGGCGAGCAGTGAAAGTGCCGGCGACGGAGAAATCTTCTGAATCTCCAAATGCGTGTTCCAGAGCGAACTGAACTCTAAAGTCTGAATCAGGTTCCGCAGACGTCTTTCGAATGGGTTTTGGAGGAGAATGCGAACCAGAAGAAATGGAAGGTGACGATGATGATACGAATTCATGGGAAGGGCGCTCATTTGAATCAAATTGTTCATCGTCTACAATAAGCTCGTCCGATTGAAAAGCTGAAGATGATGAAACCAAGAGAGCGAAGGAGAGAAGCAGCAAGGCTCCGGTGAGCTTCATTGTGAAGGGTGAGGGTTTACAAAGAGAGTCGTTGCGATTCGATATTTATAGATTGAGGATTGAATTATAGATATAGAACCTGAACTATATGTTACTTTGCATATATATATTCCTCTAACATTCCAAGCCCTTCTATGAGAAATTACTGAGTTTTGTATGTTCCAAATTTTGAGTTTCCACCAACTAAAAATTCCTTTAGGAGTATCGAGTATCATGTTTGTTAGATTTCATGAGGGTGTAGACTAGAATATAAAACTACGTGGTTTTATAATTGCAATAATAATAATGATAATACTAATAATAATAATAACCGATTCAATGGTAAAAGCATGGTTGTCAAAATCGCGATCCTGATCGTACAATCCTATGTATGAAAAAGGGATAATCTTATAAAAATACAACATATTTTTATGAAAGTCTTAAAAAAACCACTATATTATTTTTTTGTACGTTAAAACCCTTATATTTTTTAAAATGTATCATTTAAGGCATTGAGTTTGGTATGTCCTAGATAGCCAAAAATGTTAGGTTATCGATTCTTAACGTTTCTATTGTTACAATTCATTATATTAAAAAAAAATTTAAAAATATGAGTGTTTAAATGCACTAAAAAAATAACATAATTGTTTTTTTAATCATTTCATGAAAATAGATTAGGTTTTTCTGAGGTCAGAAAACTTTAAATAAAAATTTTAGAAAATATAAGGGTTTTAGTGTACTAAAAAAATAATATAATTGTTTTTTTAACCATTTAATGAAAATACGTTGGGTTTTTCCGAGATTTTCCCTATGAAAAACGATCCGGATCATAAATAGATCGTATTTGGGGTAGAATCGTAAGACCGTAAATAGGATCGTAGGATCGAGATCCGATCCGATCCTACATTCCCTTGATTTTTTTTTGCCACTTTATGTCTTTTACCATTTACCAATTTACCATTTATCATTTTGTGTTGCAACTTATAACTAATATTTTGAAGTGCTTATAACTTTTGAACGAAAAATTGAATTTTTGAAATATTTTTCATGATTAAAAATTATAAATTAAAATTATATTTTATTTTGTGGGATCTTAGGATCCCGATCTTGCAAAACCAAAAACGATCCTACGTAGGATCCCGATCTTAACAACCTTGGGTGAAAGGACTAAGGACCAAGGCCAAATCAGTCATTCCTTAAATTTAATTTTGACTAAAACCATCTAATATTTGGAGTAAGTTGGTTTGAACTAAACTTCAGCAAACTTATGGTGTAAAATCGTGAAAGATGAAACTTTTATTTATAATGGAAACCCTTCACGCTTTCTTCTTGGAGTCGACGTGAGACTCCTTCGTGTCACCAAATATGATATCTTCTATCATCTATGGTTTAATCATCTTTTTTCCTTTAATTTTTTGCCAAACACATTAAAGTAAGTCGAAATAGTTAAGGTAGTGTATTGTCAATTCATTATTAATCACTCTGAGTTCAAGTGGTTTAAGAACTAAGATAATCAATCGAATCCACATACACTATTTCAAATTTGTAGTATTATATGCTTAACATTGCAATAAGTAATTGTAAGACACATACGTTGAACCATTAGTTGTTCATAATTCAATTAAACATAGGAAGTAAGATAATTAGTTGATGTTTATATTCATATGCTCAAAATTATATATTGAATGTGAATCATTTATGTCTAGATAATTAAATTGGAATTTAAGGGAAGAAAAATGTGTTTGTCCAACTATCTGAATAGTTGAACACGAAGCACCTTCTCTTTTTCTCATTCGTAGTATTTGTTTGCAATTAAATTTCCAACGTTTTAGTTTAATCTTTGTTTAAATATTTTTCATGACAACTGCATATAGTACCTTTTCCATTGACTATTTAAACACAAATTTTGAACATGAACTCCTCGTTGATTCGACCGCACTTACCATATTTGCATATGTATAGTTGATTTATTTTTTACCGAGATATGACAACCTCCATCAGTACCATTCCTTCCATCAATTGCATCTCACGCTATCTCTTTTCCACATCAATGTTACATTAATTTTTTTTTCGCTTTTACTCCATTAAATCATATCTCATTAATGGAAATAGTAATAGTTTCCAATCTCTCTTGTCCCACAACTATTTTCTTTAAATATTTAAATAATAGAAACTGATTAAAAAAATAAACTAATTTAAAAAAAATATGAAACTAGTAATAAAAACAACATTTCACTAATACAAAATTAGATGTCTAAATAATAATTTAAATTTTGATTAAAAATACATAGAAACAATTCATTCCTAAGCATAATGTTATGTTATTTCACGCTTGCTTGTTAGTACCACATATCATATGTAATCAATAACTACGATATCATATGTTTTAGAAACTTAAATTGTAAAACATGTAAAGACCTCTTTCAAAACGAAAGTCTTTGTCATCTGACCATAGGAAAATTTACATATTATTTGCAATGATGCATGTGGCATAAAGGTAACCTAATAACTTGTATTATCTTTTGATGAGCGAAGTGTATTCACGATTCCTATAACTAGTTAATGGTCGATTACACAAGTTTCTCTGATTGGATGACTTGATCGGAAATTTCTTGTAATAAATGACACCTAAACAAAATAGGTCTACTGCATAGATGAGATCAAACATGTCAATTAACAAAATTTGTTAGCGATCTTGTACCACTAGGAATTATATATTAGAATATAATTAATAATCGATATCTACCTTGTTGAATTAAATAAATTGGATAAAGTTCACCTAACAATTTATTTGTTTTGCAACTTAGATCTTAGATTTTAATAATTAATGTTTTAGAAACATGATGAGTATGTAGACCGCGGTGTGGACGACTGTTTCTCAGAAAAATAAACTAAAAATGTGGAGCGGTTGTATGTAGACCGCGAAGTGGGCAACTATTTCTCAGAAAAATAAACTTAACATTAACAATGAAAATAATTTCTTGGGGAATAAATTCCACAAAAATGATCGAATAACTAATGACATAAAATTCTAAGTAGAATTAAACTGTTTTCCAGCAACGACACCAAAAACTTGATGTGTATTTTTAGTACTATATATATATATATATATATATATATATATATATATATATATATATATATATATGTTCATGTGTTTAAAGTAATTATCGTGTTATTGTATGCATAAATATGGACCAATCATTTTAAAAACCTGGATAGGGATAAAATTGTAATCTTAGCTTTTAATTAATTTTGGTAATTAATTATTCAATTCATAAACCCTTTAATTTAGGCAAAATCGTTTACATTTAACCCTTTAAATCCCTAGACAGAAACGAAGGAACATGCCATGTCGACGCGATGGAGCTTCTGTGATGGTTTGGAAATCGCGAGGAGGTGCAGAGGGAAGAAGCATCGGGACAACACCGATCCAGGGGGCGATCATGGCGGAAGAGGTCGATGTCTGCGACGGACATCACCGGCGAGCAATGATGAAGTTCAAATTATCGGAGGAACCGCAGAAGGTCTTGGTCTTCAACGTCAGAATCGCGCCTCCACCAGTGACACTAATCGGCCGTCATCGTCTCTGCCGCCGGCTGTTGCGACGCCGACTGTCTCTCCTCCATGTGACGATTCAGTTTTCCCCTTGAAAACGATCCAGGCTTGTTTAGGAAAAGATTCCTCTGCAATTGAAAAGATCTGATTATTGGGTCAGCTCATCGATCCGATTTTTCTGGAGATAAAGATGATAACGCGTGTTCAGCTAGTGACGAACATACGATGCCTTGATTTATGCTGTTGTTGAGCAGCAATTGGTGCGTTTTCTATTTCTTATAATTACTTAAATCATCAGTGGATTATTGTCAAAGATGTGGTTGAATTTTTGTTGAAGTTTGTGTGATTTTGGTCAGTAAAGATGAAATGAATAGGGGATATTTTGCTGCCTTCGTTATGAGATTTGATTGTAGCTCTTAGGATGCACACCAACTAGTCGATAAAATGCTTGAACCAACCTTTTCAATTTTTATTCAAGACCGTTATTCAGGGTATGCTTAATTTTCCTTTGGGTATGAACTATGAACTATGAACTACGAAGCATGTGTTTTAAAATTAAAATCCAATTTTATCTTTCTTTGGTATAAAAATATATTTTTTTTGAACGAATGGGGGAAATGCCCTCTTTTTTTTTGTTGGTTTGCTAGGTACATAAAGGCAAGAACAAGATTGTTCTTGTATTTCTTTACTGGAATCCATGTAGAATGAAAGGAAACATGGGGTTCATTAAGAGGAAACGTAGAAGAGAGGGGTGAGTGGAATCATGAATTCTAATTCTGTTGGCATTTGTTCACGAATTGTATGAAATCACGAATCCAATTCTGTTGGAATGGAATCATGAATTATAATTTTGTTGGAATGGAATCACGAATCCATTTCTCTTTAATGGGTTTTGCGTGACTTTATTTTGGTTTGCTTCTTTATGCTTGAATTTTATCTTAGATTGTTGGTTTATAATGATTAAGTGTTGAATACCATTATTTTTGTAGGTACCAAACGAGAGATATCAAAGCAAAACATGGTACATATGAAACTTACAACATTCTACTGGAATGGAATCTTGAATTCTGATTTTGTGAGAATAGAATTTTGAAGATGAACATTGTATGGGATGAAGATGAACAATGACCACCAATCTTCCAAAAAGAATGTATTATTCTACCAGAATAATATACAATATAATGAAAAAATATATATGTAATAGTATATTCTGGTAGAATGATTCATATATTGTGTTATTAATAAGTGTAACATTTGCATAGAATAATATATAATTTTTTTTTCTTTTCTAAGAATGTAATTAAATTTTTTTTAACTTGTATCCAAAATTTTGTTATTCTTCAAGAAGTTCATTAAATCAAAATATATATTATGTCAGAATGTGTAATTATTGTATGGTTCAATCATATTTATTATTTTTCAATATATTGATAAACATATTCCGTCAGAATTTTCGAATTAGG